AACGAGTTGTGGTGAAAGACCCTTTGTCCAGGGTGGGACACACACAGACAGAGACTCATATACACACGGACTTAGATACACGCACAGAGACCCACACACTACCTCAACTCACTCGACTTAACACTTCACACTGCACACTTAACAGATAACTCGCACTCAGACTTCCTACGTGATGAAACTACTAGGAGCAAGGACGCTACTAGGGGCTCCTGGCCTTACTACTAGTAACAAGAAGGAAAGGGCCTTGCTTCTAGACGACGAGTGGCGCGAAAGCATTTGTCATCACGTAGGACATCGAGATCGCCGAATCAACTCCACTCGGTGCGAATATGTGTCACGGAGTCTGCGTTCGGCACGGTCGGGGCGAATCCGTTGCCCAAAGACTTGGGTCAGAATCGGTGGATGAATCCTGGATCTAGGAGACCCCCGTTTGACCCCCTGGGAGGACAATAGACCACGACCCATTGGTGGAGGGTTTCCATGAATAACACAACTACACACCTATGTCGATTACCTAGATCCTGGCAGGACGCTACTAGGTGCTCTTGCCCTTAAGCTACTAGCAGGAAACCTACGTAACACTTCACACCGCACACTTGACAAATGACTCGCACTCTGACTTCCTACGTGATGAAAAATGCTTTCGGGCCACTCGTCGTCTAGTTATTCAACTCATGTGGACTCTCCAAGACGTCTCTCCTCATTGTCGGAGATTGGGATCTGGACTGTCGTATGGTTGAACACAATTCGAATTGATGCCTCAACTAGAAAAAGGGTCTAACACTATAGGCATTGAGCCAAATGTGAAGCATGTCTTCTGATTGAAAAACACAAGTAGGAGTGTTTTCCTAGGGCCAGCAAAACCTCTGAAACTCTCGTCCGAGAGTCTGTTTTCGATCATTTTCCACCACGAAGATCTGCTGCTGCTCCACACAGAAGCCTTAGTTACCCAAGTCAAAGACTGAGAGTCTTGAATCTTCTGAGATGATTATTTTCCGTGTTCAATTTGTACTTGCCTAGGTTATTGAACACGCTCAAAAAAGTCTTTCAAACAGGGTTCGGGTCGACTTTCAAACGTTCACCCTGATGGTCTCTCAGGTCGACGAGCCTTCACCCAACATAGAAGCTGGCCATCGATCTCACAATATAGTATAGAGCCTACGTATAAAAACCACCACCGGATCTGGGAGGCCATCTATATAGATGGGAAGGTATGCTGGCTGATAAGCTAATGACTGCAATGGCGTAGGTCAAAACAATCCATCCTCCTGTGGCGTGTTGATGGTGTTTCCCGCACAAGGTGGACCCCCCAGCAAACAGGACTTCACCCGACCAATCTGACCCGCTCAGCTTGAGGAGCTGCAGAAAACGCCCTCCTCCTCTGTACGGTCCACGACCGCGGATGGCGCTTGCTCGCCGGGCGCGAAGCGCAAGATGCGGCTGTCGCTACTGACATAGACCACCTGTTTCAAGCCCACGAAGACTGCGTCGGTCCCAGAGCGAGATTGGATATGATGAGCCCCGGCTTTGCCCGGCAGCTCCTTTTAGGGGTCTTGAACGGAGTCCCCCTTTTAGTGGGCCAAAGTGGTACGAGGCACACCCTGCGGCTGAAGACCGCCCGCAAGGCAGTTGAAATATGTTGAACGACAAAGACTGGCGGTCACACTGAGCTTGTGGTACGCGCTGATTGTTTGAGGGAATGGAAGTCGTCCAACCATAATGAGGTGGACACCCCAAATTGCTGGTTGGTGCTTCCCCCCATAACCATGTCCAGAGCTTCAATCTCTCACCCAAATGATTAATCGCGCACTCCCAGGACCTCCTCCTTGGATACGAAGAGGTAGTTGCCTTCAAACTTTTCCTGAGGGCACAAATGGCTCTCGATGACACTGCTGAGCCCACCATCCAACAGCTTCCGCACTCGCTTTCCACCATCGTCCAGGATGTAGAGCTGCCCTGGGAGGACCAAATCTTCAGGCCGGAGGGCCCCGGAGGTTCCATAACAGCTGGATGGTCTTGGGGAGGGGTTCATAGAAATTCCACTAAGCGCCTAGCAATATCTGGCAATACGTGCGCAGAAAAGACCAGAAAAGAAGAATCTTGGCAAGCAACTGGCTAAACCTCTAGATCTGGTCAGTCGGGCAACATCCTATTGCCATCCATTACCGGGTTACCACCTACTATACAGTGGATGATCCTGTTCATTAGATGCCGATTCCCAAAGAGAATGAACATGATTATCTACTGACCGGATGTGCATGGAAGACCCGGCTTAGTTTCAACGTTGGACACTGCAACCACTTTGGATGCCTTCGTGAGACAAACAACCCCCCAATCCCATCATATGAATCTATCTTGGAAATTCAGTGGCGTGCCAGAACCACATTATCACCCTGCGGAATTCATATATATATATAGTATAATTGGCTTTAAGCAAGTGGTTCGTAACATGTGTGCTGCTGGGGGATGATTATGATTCCGTCTCCTTGGCAAACCAAGCTGGAATCATGTGCTTCATCATCAGTTTTCTTGCATCCCTGCAACGTCGAGGCATTAGCATGCATTTGCTATGTGTTGTTCATTACTGACCTATCGACTCGGAATGAAGCATCCCATTAAGTTGCAGAAGCAGCAAACAACTAAATATGACTGTTACTGATTGGCACACCCCAAAATAAAAAGAATCAAAACACACACGTCGCACGTCAACAACGACGCGAGCGACGCGAGCCACCGCCGCGAGGCTTCCAGCACCAGGTGACCGCTGGGCGAGTAGCACATGTCCGCGGAATCCGAAATCTCCAGCAAGACATGTCCAGTGCCATTCTGAAAAGAAACAAGCCTCCCGGGTCTGGTGAATTCTCATGTCGTAGATGGTATTATTGATACTAATCATATATAGTATAAACTAAACTTATTTATGGTGTTCGAACCATAACTAACCAGGAACCATATGGGTGTGTATTTTTTTACCGTAGTCGGGCCGGGAAGTTTGAATAGGTGGTATGATTCGAGGGTATGATTCGGGGTATGATTCGGGGGTATGATTCGAGGGTATGATTCGCAGCTTTGAAGTTGTATTGTTGGATTGTGGGCCCGCTCTGCGCTGAGGCAGTAGGCAAGCAGCATCTGTTGGATGCTGAGCAGACTAGGCAAGTGCACTCTTCCACCAAAGACTCCAGTGGCCCTCTACAGGCCCCACCAAAACAACCAGGATGTGGGATGGGTGGGAGACTGTGTGGAGGTGCGTGATTCGGGTATGAATCGGGCATGAATCGGGTGTGATTCGTATGGCCATTAGATTCTGCAAAAGAAGGCGGTCCTTTGGTTCTTCTTCCCAAGGGAGAGCACATGGGAACATTATGAGTACCCCTGGGATGTGAGCCTTTGCTCTTCCCACAAGAAGACACAAACAATTTTGGCCAAATTGAGTGCCCATGGATCACACAATTGCAAGCGTCATGCACCATTGGCCCATGGACATCTACAAGGCACAAAGACCAACCAAAAACTTCACCTTAACACTGGTGTGTGTAACGTTTTGAGGGGTATGATTCGGGGGTATGATTCGGGGGCATGATTCGAGGTATGATTCGAGGGTATGAATCGCTCAAGTCGAACTTCCAACCACTACATCAGGAAGTACACGCCAAAAAAATACAAACCCATATCTAATCGAACCAACGACATATGGATTCGCACCAAAACTATCGCGAGACTTTATTTTGGCAACGAGGGCCGCCCAGTCAGTGGCGAAACACCTTTTCGCTCCGGGTAGTAACGAACACTCTCGGTTGAACGTGATGTCCGGGAGAATCCGCAATCCTGGAGTTGGGTCTGTTGTTTTCCATATTCCAGGAGATCATCCGCCAAGTAAACAAAAGCTTGGCTTCGATTGCACAGCCCTTGGACAGGAACACCTATACGAATACCTATGACCTATAATAGGAGGATATAATATACTGCATGACTATAGTCTCCACTATACCCAAAATCGCACTCTGCCAGACATGCTATACTCTGCTATTAATATGTTAAAGTAGCTCACGCATTTGACTCACGAAAGATGCTCCGTGTTTGTAGCTCATGCTCAGCCCGAAAGTCCAATTCCAACTCGCCTGTTCTCGTCGAAGTCGCCCACCACGACTTCGCCGTGAGGGGACACAGCAATGGTGAAGTTGTGGCTGATCTCATTGAAGCCCTGAACTCCAGATCCTGCGGGGTTGGGTCCCTGTCGATTGAGCCATGCCGACGGAAAGGACTCATTACAGAGCACCCAAACCACCCATGGAACTGGAATAGTTATACATGCACCACATCTATGACCCTAATGATCCCTACTGTAGAATGTAGGTCATTGTAGGTTACTATTCCAGTCCCATAGATTCATAGATGCTCTGGGATACATCATGCAGCTGATAGCTACCGCGTCGGGTGATCGGCGACCAACACTTTGACGGCTGCAAACGACGTGGTCGTCGTGGATCCGCCTGGGGGTGGATCCTGCTGAGGGCGGATCCTGAGTAAGACAAATCCTATATGCTTTCCTATGTCGGTCCATTGGGGATCCCTCCTTTTGTTTGCCAGTTGCTCCATGTCACGGGAGCAACACCATGCCGCTGTCGGGCGGAAAATCCGCGAGATGTTCTCCGTTCCTCCAAACTGATGCAGTGGGTCACTGATTTTTCTTTTTCCGGATCTGAGCCATTCTTCGGTGATTTTAACATAACACTCGGCCCCCATGTGCGCAAAAGTGTCGACCCCATGTTCTTCGCTGATCCTCGACCCGCGACCAGTTTACAATCGGCCGCGCCAGGCGCCCAAGAGGCAACCTGCCCTGTGCGGCGCAGGTTCACATACATTGTCCCCTGGCGCGACTCGACTGGCCAAGTTAGAAGTAGAACAATCCGAAATGGCCAGCCAGCTTGAAAGACTCAGCAATTAGCAAACTCAAAAGTGCTCTCCCTTTTCTCATAGCTTTTTCTCCGGTCAAATGTGATCCAAACATATCCAAACTCTTTTGCAAAACCTGGAAAAGCTTGCTCCTTCAGCAGAAATAGAATTTGACTCCATGCCGCAAAGGCTGGTTCTGCCTGCCGCAAGCACAAGGTGTCCGCGTAACCACGGAAGGATGCCACTTTCTGGCCTCGCGACGTGTGAGGGTCCGAAGAAGTCGAATCGCTTCCGACTGGTTTTGGATGCACTGACGCCACCAAGTGCACTCTGATAAACCTTGGAACATTCGTAAACTGGAAGTAAGACTACATTCCGACATTCCCTTCTACAAGTCCGGATGTTTTTTCCACTTCCATGTTGATGTGTTCGGAGTGTACCATAAGGTTTCTTCCTTCTCGCCTGGGAAAGCTCGTTCCGTTTCACCGGGCGAAAGCTCGTGAGGGAGTCGGATGCCCCAACCGACCGTCATTGTTCTGTTCTCTCTTCAAAGTTCCTACCAACTTGCATAGAGTGAATCTTGCCAACAGGCAAACGGTTCAGGATTTGAACGTTCAGTTTGAAAGCTGTTAGCAGCACTACGAAGGGATGATACCTTAATCCTCAAAATCCATACTGCATTAGGTTCCAATCTTGAACATCTTGTACCAGCACCTCCAACAGGTCACCAATTGAGACCTGTTAGGGCCTAACAACCCTCCAAAGGAGACCTGTTGGAAGGTGCTGGTACCAATAATTCTTCTTTACAACCATACAACCAGTCTCAATATGCGACAATCAGGGAGGCATCCCAACAGCTGTTTCGACTTGTAGTAACACAAAATCCATCAACACAACGAGTAATGACTCAATCACCACTCACGTCTCTCACTCTACAAACCCACCAGGAGCCCCTCCCCAGCCATCCCTCCGTTCGCCCACCTTGGGAAACCAGGTCCGTTACATCCGCCCCCAGCTGCGGAAGCCAAAAGCACAAGCAGCGCCGCTTGGGAAACACACGGCCGCTGCGGTGCAGCAGCAGGGCCGAATCCAAGTCGCAACAGAGGTCCGCCCCGTCCTTTTTGGCAGCGGTTGGAGGGATGGATGGGGCGGTTGAGAGATGAAAAGGTGTTGATCCCACTCCGTGGTGCATCGACCTATCTTTGTGAAGGGAGACCTCCGAGTTCGACCCCGAAGGTTCGGGAAATAGACGAACTGACCAGGCCACCACTCCAAAAGCCCTGGGGCCAAGGGGTCTCCCAAAATGGGTCGATCCTCATCCACAATGGGTCGATTCGCCTGCTGGCGGTCTCTGCACTCTCACCATTTCGCCGGCTGGTGGCGGTCCACCGGGTGACTTAAGATGTATATACTCATGCTATTCACCAGTTTTCTGTGCAACCATGTGCAACCCAAACAACTGAAATAGAAGTGGAAGATGGCCAGTTCTATTTACCAGTTCTGTTCATGAACACTCACAAAAGCGGAAAACAGACTCTGACATGTGCCACATGGGTCATCGCATGAGAGTCGTCAAAAGAATTGAATTCAAGATCATTCAAGTGTGAAGGCATGAGTCCTTCGTATTCTGCCAGTAATAGCTTTATTTATTGTTCCTAGTAGTAAGGCCAGGAGCTACTAGTAGCGTCCTTGCTCATGGTAGCGATGCCCTTTGCTACTATAGTAGCGTCCTCTTGTCCTTCGGATTCTGCCACTACTCCGAGATCAAGTCAAAAGAGCGCACCGAACGGAGATGGGACACTGGCTGCCTGGAATCGCCCTCAATTTTTTGACCCAACACAGGAACGCGTCCTGTTTCCACACCATCGGCGGGCCTTCAAATCCAAGGCGCTGGTCCCAGGGATTCTGCAAAGAGGCCAACCTGTTCCAGGTTGCTCATTGACAAGGCTGGCAGATCCACGCATTGCATCAACAGCCCTAAGAATGGCGTCCGCTCCTACCAATCGCGATCGGAGGAAGACCGAGATATCGCCACGGAGGTCGAAAGACGAGAGCTTGCGGTTTGGGTGGAGGGAAGTTCTGGAGGAAGCGAATTGATGAGGAATCACGTTCATAAAACCAATTGATGAGGTCTACCTGTGTTCAGTTGCATCATGGGCGCTTAGGTTTCCACATCCCATCTGCCCATGACCTGCATGACAGTGTTCCCTGGCAAAAACCATGCAAAAACCTGCTTTCAACTTCCACAAGATAGCTATCAAGATAGCTAGCCATATCAGATAGTGACCAGATAGTGCTTCAAAAATAGCTATCTTGGTCAAAAAAACCTTCTCATCTTCTCCCAAGATGGCCATATTCCATTCGACCCTCCGACACCTTGCCACTGATTGATGTACCCACACAAACTGGCACACACCCCAACTCCGCACACTGCAACATAAAACGCAATGGTTTTGAAAGGCCAATGATTTCTTCTGCGATGAGCAACCATGAGCAACCTCTCCTGAGGATCTGATCGATGCCATTTCAGCAGTGCCTGGAAGACAAGCTCCTCCCGCGGCACCTGAAGATCCTCCCTTCTCCTCATCGCTTCGACCAAGCAGGCGGGACTCGTCGTGCTGGGACCCGACCCCGCGTTTTTTGCATGTTTGGTGTGTGTTTGTAGGAGACAAATGCGGTGTAGCGGTTCACTGTGGGACGATGCTAGTCACGAATTTTCATTGATGGTTGCGATGAGTAGTTTAGGAAAACTAATGGGACTAGATAGACGAGACATTGTTGCTCATTTACCCTGACATAAGTCTTCTTCACGTCTTGTAAATAAGCCAAACTTTCACCCACCCTCCTAACCCTATGCTTTCACCCAGAAAACACTTTCTTGGCGGCTTTTCTTCGCTGCTGCCACGAAGCAGGATCCGGCCCAGTTGCACAGCCGAAAGCTCCAGGAACTGCGGTTTGTCCGTGGTTCGTTGGAAGTCTCGAGCGATGTGCTCCTCGCAGGCGCGTTCCAGGCGATGGAAGCCAAAGGTGTGCGCCTGCAACGTGGCGTGCTTGGCGTGGGATGGGGGAACGGGAAGTGTGTGGAAAGTGAGGGGATACAGTATGGGCCGAGTGTGTGGTGAACGTGCAAGAAATGATGGGTGTGATCACCATATTTCATTTAATTGCCTCCCCTATGGTGTTTAGATGTGATAGAGTATCTGTCTTGAGACAAACTCACATTTATGAGGTGTCATGAGTCACGATGAATGAAGATGAACATGCCACTGTTGAGACAGGACAGCGGGGCATAGAGATCGTCGGTGGTGTAGCTTGACCGTTCAAAAGGACATGAATCAGCCACTTCAGAATTGGGCGGTGTTGTTGTCAGTAAGCTGCCGCGTTTAGCTGCCGTGTTCATGATTTATTGTTGGACACTACTGCTGAACAAACAAGTTGTTTCTCGAAAAGGTAGCTATATACAAATACAACTGAGCACAGCCCGTTCAAACTGCGCCTGCTGAAAGAGCTGCAAGGCTTCGCTGCCTTGCAAATCTTCCAAAAGTTCCTTGGAGAGGGTACCGGTACGCAAACGAACAGTTGTTCGTTTGCGTGAGTTAAACTCAGGCACACGGTACGGACACTTCGCGGGACTAATAATACATAATAATACAGAAAATTCTTACACTCCCTGGAACTAACATGGAAGTGGAGAATGGCCCCTTGGAAGACCATTTTCCACTACAAACAGGTGGTTTTCCACTTCCATGTTAGTTTTTGGGAGTGTATATCTTGTCCTTCCTATCTTGAAGGGATTTGGTGCCTGGCATTCGCGGTGCTCAGGAGGACCTCTGTCTATGAGAGCAACGACCGATAGGGCCAGATCTTTTACTATAATTCTATCAGATGCAATGACACTTAGTCAAAATCTGCCAAGAAAAAACAGGGAACTCAGAGGCTGGGCAACACCACCGATGACTCATCTATAGGGTTCCAACACATCGAAGGTGACGGTGTTTCACAGGTGGACGGTCCTTTCCAGGTCGTCCAAGCCTCCTTCAGGTCGCTCCTTCAGTCCATCCAGTCATATCCCCATCCATCGACCTGTGTGGCCCAGACCGGCCCAGCGACTGCCTCGATGGAGGCGGCCAGGAATTGAAGTCCATAGGCGCTCGCCAAGCGGAGCAGTTCCATGGAATCGACCGTGGCCACCTGGAACCCGAACCGTGCGGCAACGGCGGCAGTGGCGGGCGTGGGGCGGTGAGCTACATCATGTAGTGTCGCCGCCAAGATGTTTCAAGATCAATCCCAACTCACTCACGGTGTCCGCCGGGAAAAAACAATATACACACACACACTTATGGATATGCGTACTGAACTGATAGCGGTGCCACACACCGGCCTAGGGTTCCGTTTCCTAAGAGTACCAGTAGGAAGCCATCGAATCCTGGAGGTC